GGTGCAGCAGCAAGGATTTGAGGGGGTTCTAGAGGCAATCGATACAGCAGCAGCAGCAGCAGGAAAGCTAGCTGAAAGACGTACTGCTGCATGGCAGCTACAGGTAGAGGTGGAGATGTTGGTGATGCTGCAGCAGCTAGCAACAGAAGCAGAAAAGGTAAGCGAAGCAGCACTAGAAAAGGTTGTGGGTACGAGTATACTACAAGCAGCTGATTTAAAAAACATACAAACGCAAGAGGATCGCCAGAGTGCTGCAGCAGAGGATGCAAAAGCAGCAGAAACTCTGCGTGCTGCTGCTGCTGCTGTTGATGCTTTTGTTTCTTCATCTGTTATTATACATCAAGGAGTAAGACATGCTGTATTAGAAGACTTGCTGCAGAAGGATGCAATTGCTGCAGCAGCACCAAGCCCTGAGATAGGAGATGCAGCAATAGCAGCAGCAGATGCTGAAGCAGCAAAAACAGCAGAAGCAAAACGAGAAGCACAGAGACAAGTAGATGCACTTGTAGAGGTTGCAGCAGCTATCATGGAGGTAACAGGAAGCCCGAAGCCTCAGTATAGAGGGGATCCAGCAACAGACCCAGCAGCAGCAGCAGCAGAAGCAGCAGCAGCAGCAGCAGAAGAAGCAGCAGAAACTGAAGACCCTCATAAACGACATAAATTGATAGAAAAAGCTGTAAAGGAAACCATCACCGCTGCACGTCTCTCTTGGTCAGGGGATGAAGGAGAAGGAGAAGATGAAGCAGCAGAAACACAAGAAGAAGATGATGCTGCAGCAGCAGCAACACAAGAAGCAGATGATGCTGCAGCAGCAACAACACAAGAAGCAGATGATGCTGCAACAACACAAGAAGTAGATGATGCTGCAACAACACAAGAAGCAGATGATGCTGCAGCAACAGCAACACAAGAAGCAGATGATGCTGCAGCAGCAACAACACAGGAAGCAGATGATGCTGCAGCAGCAACAACACAGGAAGNATGATGCTGCAGCAGCAACAACACAGGAAGCAGATGATGCTGCAGCAGCAACAACACAGGAAGCAGATGACACAGAAGAACCAAGTGATGCTGCAGCAGCAACTACAGAAGGACCAAGTGATGCTGCAGTAGCAGCAATACAGGAAGCAGGTGATGCTGCAGCAGCAACAGAACAAGAACCAAGTGATGCCGCAGCAGCAGCAACAGAA